TATTCTCCTTATCTTCTCTTTTATTTTTATGTGATCCTATTCTTATACCCAAATCTAGGTTTGCTAATTTGATTATTCATCATGTGCTGGAAGATAAGTTGATAACTTGTATGATTGTACACCTAATCAATGTGTGAGTTATTTTTCATTTTTACAAGTCAGACCAATGCTAATGCAATGTAGCAGAGAACCTTTTGAATCTTTTCTCTGAAATTGCGTCGATATATTTCTAAATATCCTGTACCATATTAATATGTAGTTGGAAAAACACGTTTTCGCCTGAGCTGCTTATCATGACAACTAATATCTTTTATTTTTTCTTATTTCTTTTAACTCTACTTTTTATAAAAGTGTGTTGACCTCGTTTGCGCAACTCGGTCTTGCTTCCAAGGCGACTTAGTCTGACACACCTTGTCCGAAGTCCCCTACTATAGTAGTTATCATAATTCCCTGCGTCAGACCGTGGACTTGGTACATTCTCAGATGTTTCACCTGCAGAAAGAAGAGTGGCAGCACAACCGTTTTGGTAGAAAGTTGGTCGAGGGATTGACTTCACTTGTCTCTATGACGACTTGTAGCTTGGTACTGAGAATGGCAAGACTCACTAATGGTGCCGACTATAATGGCGGCGAGATGTCTGATAATGTGCCAAGTCCACAGTCTGAGGCTAGAAATTATGGTAACTGCTGTAGCAGAGGACTTCGGACAAGGTTCGTTCAACAAAATCGTCCTGACGATAAAACCAAGCTAAGAAAACGAGGTCAACCCACTTCAATGCATCGAAAGGAGACTTCGACCAAACCGAGGGCCATACCATTTTGGTCTTCATCTCTTCATTTAGTTCTTATATTCTATATTATTTTCCTCTAGCATTCACAACTTAGCACCAATCTTGTTCCACCCTTCAGGTGGAACTTTGACTGACACCTCGGGGACGGCAGCTTCACGCTACTGGACCGGAGATGTGCCTACTTGTGAGTTAATAGATTCTATACGTAGCGTGCATGGTGCATCTACCCCAGGTGGAGCTGCCCGATTGCGTCAGACATCCCAGCAACAGCAGTGCTTGAAGGCCGGTCGCTATTCTAATTCAAGACCTGTATCTATGCTGAGTGAACTTTCCGTAGATGCCAGTTCTCTCCACTCTATTTTCTCGTCTAGCGGCATCGGTGTAGGAGTGACTTCTAGGCCTGGCAACGTCCGCTTCGACAACTCAAGCTGCGAACCAGCCGCCAACCTCTTTCTCGAATCCGCAAAGAACGACAAAGGCGTAGGGAAGGGAGGCATAAGCTCGTCCAGCTCTCTTTCCTCCCTCTCGTTGGCTCCCAGACGAACGAATGAGGCCAAGGTCACCGAAAGAAGGGCTAAGCCAGCGAACAATCCATCACGTCCGTTTTCCACTAGCGCAACCTCGAATGCTACATCTTCACTGGCCCCCAGCTTCAATCATTCGGCCGACGAAACTGCAAGCTGTCGAAGCGCCTATCTCAATCGGCAGGGCAAAGTGGATCGGGATATTTTAAACCAAATTGCTGGATTTAATTCAAGTAACTCTCCTTTTTCCCTCGTCCTCCCCTCCTATATGCATACTTCTATACTATTCACAGCTGTGAATAATGGGATAGAGGGTTTGCTCTGCACTTCACTCTCCGTGATGTGAGCTAGTGAGGCAGCCATGGCCACCTGATGAAAGACAATACAGGCTGAATGAGATCAACTTGAAATTACGCTACAGTTGAAATGACGCTTTTCCTTATCCAAGAGTGACAGTGCAAGTTTTACTCATATGCTAGACGATATGCTTGCTAGTTGATCTGCCCTCTAAGAATGAGAAAAAAGACTTACTATTTGTCTTTAAATGTCATTCTGTTGTGTCTAAAAAAGTTAGTGAACTGCCATTTCGACCTCTGCTGGGTCAACAGCAAAGTGCGTCTGACTGTCTAAAAGCTCCCCAATTGCATATGCAAGTCTGGAAGTTTTGCTTATTTTGACTGACTGCTGCTGTATCCAATGAGGCTGAAAGTTTTTGGTTTGCGGCTTAACATGCCTTCATCAAAGCTGGCGCGTACAGCGTTCGGCTATCGTTGTGGATGATAAATAAACCCATACAATTTTGAAATAACAGTTCATTCTGAATGCAAATCCACTCTCGGGAGGGATTGCAGAGCGTGATTATTAAACTACAAGTAAATAATTTCTTCGTTGTTAGCAGATCAAGTAGTGAATGCTTAAAGCATCCATATGTAATGGGGAATCTTCACTCCTAACTTTGCGTTATTCATAGTCACGAGAGCTTATCTTCAATATTTGACAAACTTAAAAGGAAATAGCTTGACAAAGTCAACTTTTTACTTTTTTAGAGGTCCATGTTATCACAATCCAACCATACTTTCACTATTTCTACCGTATAAATCTAGACGGTAATAAATTTGCGGGAAGCACTTGAAAGCGTCTGTCAGCCAACACCAACTATTTAGAGACCTTCTCCATTCCGCTGTCGTTTACCTTGCCGCTCTTCTTTGTTGACACTAGGCTTTGTTCGTCTCTGACTGCCTCCGCTTAAGATAGGGATTGAAGACAGTGAGGCATTCCTAGAAATGTGCTATAAAATGTAAGAGATGACAGCTGAAATCAAATAAAGCTTTTTGAAAAAATTTAGGCACATTTAATGGCATCCAGATTGTGCCTGCGATTAATGTTATCCTTTCTTTTAGGTCAAATTTGTTCTCTTTTCTATTTATCGTTTCACACTTATTCGTTGTAGATATTGCCAAATTTCCGATTTTTAATTCATTGTCTCATCACTATTTGTTTGCACCTTATCTTGTGCACTCATCTGCTTATGTTAGAGAGATTTTGAAAAATTACCCTTTCTGAATAAAATATATACTTCATTTGAGCCAACATCGGATAGTATTTTTAACCTCTTATTAATTAATAATGGGCGGGAATTTTAAAAACTTGTTTCATATATATATATATATATATTATTTTTACTGAAAATACTTATCGGATTCTCTGACTTCCATGTTTGTATCAGTTTTTACTGCTCTTCTGCAATAATACAAGATTAAAATTTATTTTGGCTTGCGTTAGGCGGATGCAGAAATGTACGCTATAATGAATAGGAATTTTCTATCTTAGGCATTAACTACAACAAGCTATATTGTTATGTATTCATCCTATTTCGTTTATAATAATAAAGGGACTGGTAGCATAAAGATTTACCGCATATTTTATCACACATTATAACTTATAAATAATGATGTAAAAGAGCATGAAAGGTGATTTATTTTGTAGACCATTCTCCGATTTTAGTAACAATCCAATACCTGCACCATGAAATATGGCAGACATTGGGTGTATCATAAGTTTGCCCAACAACCTATAAAGACCATTCAAATCTCTCGAATATATGGTTTGTTTCTTTGTCTTTCTATAATGACCATCTTGGTGGTAGGAACTTATAGATGTTTGGGATTATAAAAACTTAAATTATTGAGAATTTAATAAAGAAGGCGCTTTTAAAATAAAAATGTTTGGATAACGGTAAGGACTCTGAATAATTTAATTAATCTATTAATTTGACGCTTTTTTGAAAACCACTAGCAATTTTTGATAAATTCAAGCATGTAAAGAGTACACTTCCCAATATAGTCTACTCCCCACCCTTGCACTATTATTGTCTTTGACTAAATTCTACATTCGTGCTACGTGAATAACGTCTTGGTAGAAACAGCAAGACTTTGCTATTCATTTCAGAAGAATTTGTGTTGACTCTGCACCTTGTACGCTCTTATCTCAGATGGCCCTCTCTCACGCGTGCCAAGACGCCGCGCTACTCCCACTACAGCGGCACACTCCGGCCAGACGACTGCGAGTACTCCGCAAAATTCCTTGCTCAACTTCTCGTCTTCATCCTCACTTTCGCCAATATCTTCCAAAGTTGCTGTTGTTCGTGAAATGTCCGCCAAGGCTATCGCTTCCTCTCCTTATCCACTTAAATCGGCAACCGCTGCTGTGTCACCAATTGATCCCTCAAGCCTGGCTGCTCAGACCTCTCTCGGTTTGACAGGCAGCAATCTGACGCTCACCGGGATTGATAGCGAGGTATCTCTTCTGTTCTGACCTTATTTTGCCTTTTGTCGTGCCTTTTTCCCGCCATTTTTCTCTATTTGTGTTACAATGGCCCCGATCACTCTCGAATTATCCCCACATCCCACGGGGCACACGATAAATTAAGCCACTTTGATGGTATAAATAAAGACAAAAAGGTTGTAACCTCTGTTTCGTTTCGCGGTATCTAAGTTGTTTAATCTCGTTTTCACACTTTGTTCCTGTGCCCAGGGCGATCTAGTTGAACGCACCTTGTACGGAGCCTTCTGCCATGCCAGAATTGGGAAGCCTTTCATTTCTTATTAAAGTGTCTGAAGAAGAGATTCGTTGGTTGATCTCACCTGAAGACGACGGCTGATTCCCGTTGTACTACAGCCATTTGGCTTTAATAAGACGTTTAGATTGACGCCGTCCACGAGAAATCCTCCCTTCTTTCGAGTGAAAACTGGCTGAGCTTTCGTCCCTCATATGATGGACATCCTCAGAGGGGGAACTCATTCCTGTAAAAGTCTCAAGTTAGTCTCTTACCTCTTATATAGACTAAATTACGCAAAGGAATATTAAATAGCACAAATACTTATAGAATTATTTGGCTAATTGTCTTTCGTGTTGGTCCTGCTACTTTTATTCGTATAATAGTAGGGTTTCGAGTGTCTGTGTGCGTGTGCGTGTTGACGTCAATATGCAATACCGGTCCTGAATCAGTGATCAAAGGACTAATATGAGATGTATTCACCCTATTCCGTTTAAGGTGATAAGGGAGTGGTAGTATAATTTTCCCACAATCATATAAGTAGAGCTGACATTTCCATTGAATTTCACATTGCCTTGTTTTCCCAACTATCATGGTTCGACTACCGCTGGGGGTGTTGATAAGGCCGAGGCGAGGTCGAAACTGCAGTCCACTGGTGCCTGGATGAGAACAACCTTTGGAAAAGCAAGGCTATGTGAAATTCATTGGAAACGTCAGCTCTACTCATATCATTGTGGGAAAATTCTACTACCAGTCGTTCATCACCTTAAACGAAATTGGGTGAATACATCTCATATTACTGTTTAACTGGTAGTCTCGAAATTCTACTTAAATACAAAAAAAATAATGTCAGGCTCTGGCTATGAAGGCTTAATGATCCAACAGAAAGACCTGACCGAGACTGCGTAAGTCCGTAAACAAGTATGGGTGAGATAATGCAATGTAAGTTTGTACGCGCCTAAATCAGGTAAGGAATCCATCCGCCATAGCCCGTCAGTCGGGTAATTAAGGTCTAATGACCCAAGGAAGGCATTATATGGAATTACGTAATCTGGTACTTCTGGTTTGGTTGATGTGCTTAATCTAACACGGGCGAGTATGAGTGAAATATAAAACCCTTGCA